GCGCCGCTCCGCCGCCGCCGCCTCCTCCGCCGCCGCCCTCTCCACCGCCGCCCTCTCCGCCTCCTTGCGCGCCAGCACGTCTGCGGCTTTTGCGTCTGCGGCATCACGCCGCGACGCCTTGGCCTGCTCGGCCGAGGCGCGCTTGGCGGCCTGCGCGATGGCCCGCTCGTTGGCCGCGGCCGCCTTTTGCTCGGCCGCCAGCTCGGCCGCCAGCTCGGCCGCCCTCGCGCGCTCGGCGGTGGGCGCGTTGGCCGGCCGCGGCGCCCGCTGCCGTTGCTGCGTCCTGGCGAGCGCGTCGTCGGCGGTCATGTACTCGGAGGCGCGGGCGGCGTGCTGCTGCGAGAGAATGGCTGCCGCCGCCGCGGCGAGCGCGACGCCGTGTGGAGCCTTGGAGGCACCCGAGAGGAGGCGGAGCCCGGCGCGAGGCGGCCGGAGCGGCGGCCGGAGCGGCGGCCGGACGAGCGGCGCGAGGGACGACAAGGAGGGGGTGGCGGTGGCGGCGGCGGCGGCGGCGGCGGAGGCGGAGGCGGCGAGGAGCAGGACGACAGAGTGTAATTTGGCTGACATCGGTTGTGAGGGTAAGGATAAAAAACAAAAGACGCCCGGCGGCAAGGAACCATTGGCTTTGTACTATTAACAACGAAGGCGCTCTCAAAAACAGTGGCCAGGGGCGGGGCTTGCATTTTTGCCGTCGCCAGTCGCACTCCCAAACGCTACAACGGGGGCGGCGGCGGTGGCGGGGGCGGCGGCGGCGGCGCGACGGGGTTGGTAGGGGGGTGGGGAGGCTGCCGTGCTGCCGTGTGCGCTGCGCGTGCCGTGCTCGCACCGCACACCATACGGCGGGAAACAGACGGCGAGGGGGGCGGCGGCGGCGGGGGCGGCAGCGCGCGCGCGGCGCGCGCGACGGAGGGGCGGAGCAGCCACCGCGCGCGCGGTCGCTGCTCCGTCTGACCCGGAGCGACGTCTGCTCGGGGTGCGCGTTGCAGAGGGAGCAAGCGTGGC